ACAAACCCATTATATTCACCTAAGACGATCCAATATTTGTTGTCATTGATAAAGCGAGTGTTTTGAGGATTGGCTTACATTTAATTATTTTTCCACCAATCAATTACACACGAAATACCTACCTACCTAAATGTCTTTATGTATTACGAGTTATGATGAACTAATAAACAATAACTGCAGCATAAAAATATTGTCATTAAACTAGTACAACAGTACTATTTTACTTATTTTAAATCAAAAAAATATAAAATTATAATTTATTGAATTTAGAAAACAATACTGAAAAATATCTTAATTATTAAAAATTATTGAAAAAAATTACTTATATTTGAAAAGCCCAGTTTAATTTTCAATATAAGAATGTGGCATAATTAAATCATAATATTGAAATATATAATTAGACTAAAAATGTTTTTAAAAAGTTAATTTTGTAATAACACTTTATAAAATTACAACTATATTTTCAGAATCTGTAGAATTTACTGTCCGGTAAATAATTTAAAAAATATTTATAATATAAATGACCGGGTTTTGATTTAAAAAATCAACGTTGGTTATAAATAATGCACGATATTAAATAATACTTAGTTATTATTTTACGAGTATTATACGTGTATGGCAAATTTATTTTTGTTCGTAATTAATTAACATAAATATAAAATTCCATATTAGAGCTATCAAACCTACAGTTATCAACATTGGTAAGAGAACAAATCTAAGTATGCTGATAACTTACCTTTCATTAATTGTTATTATATATATTAACTGTGTAAATCTAATATTTTAATTTTTAAACTAAAATAGTTTTTACTAATAAGAACTTAACTGCTGATGTATTTTTTTTAAGATACAAATATGTACATGTTCCATTTACATACACCATTTAAACTTATTAAGTTTAAAGTATAATATATTACTTTAAACACAGTTATAAAAACTTTCAATTGCTTAAAAAATATGAATTGTAAATTGTATAATATGTACATAATCAGTGGTGTACATACAGGGGGGTTTCCGGGTTCACACCCCCCCAGGGCCAAAAAAAAAAAGAAAATTTTTTTATTATTGATGACGTGTAATATATTCATAGTTTCAATATTAGGCTTTGAACATAAAATATACAACTGTAAAAATATTATGATAATTAAATAATTATATTGATAGGTGTTTGAAGTTTTGTTAACTATGCTGTTTTTATATTCCAATAGCTATTCATTTATTGTAATGTAAAAGTAAACTGTAAATTGGTAAAAAAATTGTATAAAATAATATCTATTTATAGCAGTTATTTATCTTATTTATCTGTGCAACGAAAAAAAAAGATAACGATTTTTTTGGTTAAACCCTTCCCATAGCAAGATTGAATGTACGCCTCTGTACATAATATATGGGAAAGTTAAACGTATTGTTGTAAAATGAGAAGCAAACTACAATATTCATAATTCTTATTAGTTTTACAATATTTATTAAATACTAATTGATTTTTAGTACACTGCTATATATAATGTCTATTAGTTTTTATTATTCATTAACTCTATAAAAGTAAAATAGTTTACAAAATAAACACTTTTTGCACATTTTGTAATTTAAATCACTTTTTACTTATAACAATGCACGTTTAAAAATTAAATATTAAATAAAAATGGTATCAGTGGCCAGTAAATGTATAATGCAAAAGAAGGGGCACGCGCCATAAAAAGAAAAATAATACACTGGTATGTGATGACGTCATGCAGTTGAACTCGGAGGATGATGTCATCGTCTGGCTGATACAACGGTACGACCGACCTCGAATTAATCACATATTTCCCCATTCTGTATTATCTATATGCATTATATTAAATAAACTGTATTGACCATATGACTAATGTAGGCTATGGATTTCCTGGCTTTTATTAACTGTTATAGCAATTACATTTGAAAAGAGTAAATATTATATTTTACAAACAAAATATAATAAATATAACAAAACAATAACGATTTTTTTTTAATTACAGATAAATAATTCAAATATGTTTTCTATAAGGAATTCGTTTACTTTATTTATAAATCAAAAACACACATACGAGTACATCTAAATACTATTGAAGCATACACGACTGCAATTTATTAATTTACTTTCACTATGAAAATCATAGAAAAGTGTTGATGGCATTTCTATTGGTTATTCATGAAAAAAAAAATGCTAATATTTCATCTTACTGTGTTTCCATTCATAATGACAAAATAAACAGCACCCTAATGTGAGTAATGCGTAATTTATAAGCACACAAGGTATTTATGACCATGAATATTATAAAACGTATACCTAGTCGTATAGGTTACAACTATATAAGTACAATAATAAATTAATAACATATAAGGAACTATGTTGAAATAGCTTTAATAGAAATTCAAAACCAATGGCAGGTATAATCTTAGTAAATTTATTTTTTTATTTTTTTTAAATTTTAGTAAAATTTTAATTTAAAATACTATTAAAAATTAAATTAACTTTATTTGTATGATTTATGTGCTTATCTATTAATTTTAGAGGGACATTAAAGCTTTTTATCAGAAAAAAATAATCGCAATTTTTACTTGAAATATTTTTCCTAATCTGATAAAATAATAAAAATTATTTTTATTGAATAATTAAATTTATTAGATAATATATTATATAGTACTCTAAACATTGACATCTAAGTTTTAATGCTCGACTATACGAACTATGAGTAATTTAAAGAATAATATAAATTGATAAAAGTATTTTGCATTAACAAAATTACTTTTTATGTGCTCTCAATAAAATAAAATAAATAAATATATTTCAACATTACATTTTGTTCTTAATACGATTTAAATTGATGTTGATTTTTTTTTTTATAATCATTCTCAAACAAGACATTACATAATATCATTAAATTCTAATTGTATTATTTTGAATTCCTAAAAGACATAAATAAACTATAATAATAATTAAATATAAGTAGTAAACGATGATATAAGATGTCACCTCAAGACATACTAAACAAAGCAATTATAAATAAATTGGAAATATCAATAGATAACATATGTACTTTGGGTACTGAAACATTTTCCTTAAATACACAAAAACTGAATAATAAATAAATCAAAGTTTTATTCATATGTCTAGTCATATGATAAATTAATGACGAGAGTATAAAACATTAAATTAGACTCTCTCGACTAGAGTTAATAAACCCACTATTACTGGATGATTCATGTTCTTTTTAATTCAGTGACGATACTAATTGATTGTTTATAAACTGTTTTAATAATAATCACGAGTTAGAAACGTTTGACAAACATGAATTTTTCCAATGATGACAAACAATATTCATGAAAAAAGAAACATTGTCAATTTGTTTTTAAAATAATTCAATGATTTAGCCAAACATAAAATAATAATTAATTATAATATATATGTTATTAATTATTAAATATTAGTGGTAGTATTAGTACCTTGTACATAGTAGTAATAAAAATACATCATTATTATAAAGTGCAACGTAAATAAATATAGGAACATCGATGGTCATCGTACGTGTATCCAGCAATATCTCATAAACATGAATAAATTCCGATGTTATCGACCCAAAATATGTTCAAGGATATAGTCTAAATTGTAGGTGTACTGAACAATTTATGTAGGAAGTTGACCGTTATACATCGTAGACTACAGTATATTGCACTAAACGCAGTTTGCACGCTGACCATTATCTTTGTGAACAGAGTTAAATTATATTTTTGTGAAAAAACTGAATGTAAAAATATCAGCTTTTAAGTAAGTGATCAATCACAAAATCAAATGGTTTCAAAATATATATTGTAGCCAATGGTACTAAAATATCGAGCATTTTAAAAGAAATAAGTTCAAAGTTTAAATGACAAAATATACAACTATTGCACACATAGTTCATATAATAATACTTTTCATGTCCTAAATACGATTTAAACACGCCTATTCATCGGACAGATGTTTATCGCGAATTGTTGTGCACGAAGTACTCGTCACGATGCATATAACTCTTACACGCCATATGGTCGGAACAAAAGACCTACTTAGATTAACAGCACCGAGTAAACTTTTCATGTAAGTCAAATTTAAGAAATACATGAAACCTGTAATATCGCGGACACTAAAATTAGAAGAAATAGAAAATATTATCGGATTACATACTAACAATACATTTTGAAAAAGACTTCAACGTCGGTACACTGCAATTTAATGCAGGTACAGTAAAAGTGCAAAGTGTTCACAATACAATAACATCAATGTTGTTATAAATAAAAAGCAATAACACTTAAATGACGTAAAAGTAAATTTGTGTGGCAATATAATATTTCAAATCGTTAAATTAAGTGATTATTTTAATTATATACCTTATGTTTAACGATAAATATTGTACACGCAGATTGTTCGAACGATTTGCGTAATTTTTTTTTTCTAACGATGATTTAAAATAAAACCATAAAAATATCAGAACTCTGCAAGATTGTGAGATGACATCGAGAGACTCAATTGCAACCACTTATTGCTAATACAATTTAAAAAGAAAACCTTGGTCACATGGATTACTACACCTTATGGGTCTGACACATGAATTAATAAATCAACCTAAAGTGATCCGATTAAAACCGTATCTTTAATATCATTGATTTTTTTTAATATTCAATACAATATTTGACATTTAGGCCAAACATAGACGAATTTAAAAAAATATTATAAATCACAGCGTTAAGTTGGATCAGGAGTTTCATACAAGGGGGGAGTAAAATCCGAAGGAAAAACCATTCTCTAATACAGTATTTTTTTTTAATAAACATTTCGCCGGGGATAATCTATTACACTCAATAGTGTACTATCTAATGGACAGCTTTAACCAAAGTTCAACTTAAAATTGTACGTGTGTGTGCCTATATACGAATCGGACACATTTTCAAAACGTGTCTGATCTGAGCCTTTCGATCATACGCGAAAAATCCAATTATTTTACCTGTTTGGTATAATTTTCCAACGACGAAACTTGTGAGGAAAATTAAACAAGACGACGGTGGCGGCAGAACTGATGAACGATACGTGTTACGAGTCGGACGATCGCAGGAGAATTGACAGCTGGGAGGGTGCCGTTGCCGGTCGCCGTCGTAGCGACAGCAGCCGCTCCTGCTGTCGTGCATCATAGGAGATAAAAAAAAACAAAAACGCCTTCCGACCGGTCAGTGCAAACGCGTCTAGTAACGCAAAATATCCCGGTAAAACAGTGGTCTGAATCGTTATTTAGTTTGCCGAAATTAATATCAACTTCTATTCATTAGTTATTAATATTAAATACAAACAAATTGATGTTTTCAAAGGTTACAGATTTAAATTTGGCATTATTTTTCAATTTCGACCACCTATTATCAAAATGTTTGAGATTTTAAATAAATTTATAAAAATTACATTTTTTTTATAATAATTCATTTACATTTTATTTTGAATAAAAACAATGATAGTTATTTTACAATATTTTTATACTTCAATTTATATTCGACAATAAACAGGTAAAATATTTCTACTTATATTTAAATATATTTAATATAAATATAAATAAATAATAAAAATTAAAATAATTATGCAGTGTTTGAATCGGAATCTGCAGGGTATTATTTTCTATTGGACTTTTAATCAAAATTTAGTAAACTTTGATATAATTTGGTAGATCTTTAATTACCAATGGAATAATTCTAACAGTGGAAAACAGTGGATTAGATGTAACTAATAAATTATGAAATAAATTTGTATTTGAATTTAATCGTGAATTTTTTTCTTGTACAATGCTCTCTGTAAACCTTATAGTCTTTGTTTCTATATTTTTGTGCTTCTGATAATTACCCTAACAATAGTTAATACTTTTAATAGAATACCAGTTTTAATTTTTTTTATTTATATTAATTACTATATGTAGAAGTGCATTATTTATTACATCTGCTACACACAAATTTTATGGACACTAGAACGCATGTAAAACCATAGATACAACGAAAAATAAAATCTAGCCATTTTAAGCCCATCATTTTTAAATTTATCTGATAGTTTTCGTTTAATTTATGGACTGAGACCTTAATGATTTTATTGATTTTTATTAAATGCATTGACATTTTTTTTTTCACCCAGAGAAAATTCTTTACAATATTCACTGTCATTGATACTGAAAGAGAAAGAGTAGCTTAACAAAAAAGATAACTATATTTTCAGAGAAAGATAGCCTACTACTTGTGTCTTCTATACACAAGTGAGACTGAGTATAGTTAAAAATCTCGTCCATTTTAGAGTCATGACTGGGTGATCTAAGTTATATTATGAATAATTGTACATCATGGAAGGAGGAATAACATGTTATCCTACCTATATACCTCATATACATTGTACCAATATTAAAATGTATTTAAAAATCTTCTTCTAGAGCTTATAGCAGTCCATTCATAACTATCGCTTTAACCATTTAAGAATCTGTGATTTTTAAAAATTAATTTATAATTTATTCTATTATAGTTGTTTTTAACAAAATTATTCAATTTGTATAATTAACTAATACTCTTAAAAACAGCGGCGGATTGGCCCACCGGGATACCGGGAAAATTTCCGATGGGCTAGTAGTAGTATTATAACACTTAGCCGATGTACTAGGATTAAAAATTATTTTATAAAAATAATGTATTTAAGAATATTGTATTTAATTGTAAGATTGTGATGTAAATAATTCTACGAGCATTTAATCCATGAACAAAGGAGACTTTTAAGGAAAATTATTATTATTGAATGGTGGGCCGATCATACGGTAATTTCCGGGCCGAAATATTTAGCCAATCCGCCGCTACTTAAAAATACTAGTCTTATTTATTATGTATTATATATATAATAATAATATAATATAATATTATTTTATAGTTAATAAAAGTTTATTAAGAAATAGATTCACATGTTCAATTCCTCCGTCAACGCATAGTACACACCGCTCCAGTGGTCACTGTCAACACGTTATTGACGCTCGACTTATGTATTTTAATTTGCGTGTTAAAAATATGGGCTTTTCCTAAATTGTGTTTTTCTTAATGTATTTTTATTTTTTTTTTATATAACGAATCGAATGGTATCATCGGATTTAAATTAAGAGCTATATTTAGATTTTAAATTTGAATTTCCTTCAACTGGATATTAAAATATTGTGTTCATTGTTTCTAATCTATAATCATACTTGAAATCACACATGCATTGTATATGTATACCATGACTGTGAAAATAAAAACAATTTTTAATTGCATCGTGATTTAATATTATGTGTATGTATAATGCATATGGATTTATCTACGTATATCATATAATATAAATATATATATGGATTATTATTTAGTGTCAAGTACCCATGGACAATGTATTATTTATATTTTTTTTGTTATTTAAATTGTTACTAAAATAATTTGTAGTGATTGAAACATCAATATTAGATGAGTATTATTGTTATGTTTTTGTTTTGCTGTATGTAGTTAACATCACGTTTATCTGCGAGTATATTTCCTTATACTGTTTTATATAAATTAATAAATTTTAAAATTTTTGATTAGTGTTTTTTCTTGTTTGGTACCTTTTTTGTTACCTTCAATTATGACATTACATAAAATGATTTATCATGATAACATCACAGATCATGAAATATCAGAAACGATGGATAATGACAATTTCCCACTCTCAGATGAAGATTTCGAATTAGTTTAACTTACTACTATGTAATAATACTATATATACAGTGCCATATTTCCCAATAAATACTAAAAGCTAGTACTTAGGGTGGCAAATAATTTTTTAAATTAAATTTTTATTATATGCGACAAGATTATCAAGATTCGTTTGAGTCTTTAGTAGTATTTAATCTTAACTAAGATTAAGTAGTATTGTTAATTATGTTACGATTAGAATAGCTCATAAATGATGATATTTCTGATGAAAGGCGATCTCAACGAGTATATAGAGATTGAGTATACTTCGAATTATATGACCGTCAGTATCGTCAATGTTTCAGACTAACAAAAAATCAAATAGCGTTTATTTTAAGTAAGATTGGACCTATGCTAACTCATACGAGTAAACGGAATAAAGCAATCACCACAGAACATCAACTATTGACGACATTGACTGGCTCAGAAATGGTGCACAACAACTAAGTGTAGGAACTACACATGGAATATCAACTACATCTGTGAGTAGATGTGTTCAAAGGGTTGTTAATGTAGTTTTTACCCACATGTTTTCAAATATTTTTAAGTGGCCAAATAATCCCGTTAAAATACTTACGATGTTCCTTGACAAAGGTAGTTTTCCATGTATAGCTGGCTGTATTGATGGTACGTTAATAAATGTTGATGTACCAAGTATAAACGAAGAACAATTTATAGATAGACATGGCAACCATTCAATCAACGTGACAATGGTTTGTGGTCCAAACCATGTATTTTATACAGTAGATGCAAACTGGCCTGGAAGCGTACACGATGCCAGAGTATTAAGAAACACTAATATATTTGTTGCTTTTGAGAGTGGTTGGTGACCATTTCCTGGGGCAGTCCTATTAAGAGATAATGCATATCCATTAAAAAAATGGCTTATTCCGCCATGTCATCAAAACTCGAATATTGAAACCGAACAACGGTTCAACCGCAAACACAAATTTACACGTCGATTAATAGAGTGTAGTTATGGAATTTTTAAAGAAAGATTTCCGTGTTTGAACCATTGTTTGTAGAGTTGAAATTGCCGAACAACACATCTTTCTATTTTCGGATTGCATTTAATAATTTAATAACACACATTTTGAAAAAAAAAAATTAAAAAAATCGATAAGTTGCTAAACTAGAATTATGCCCATCTTTCACCGAAAATTAATAAATATAATAAAGTACATTTTTTTTGTCAAAATATTATTATATTTTCCTACCAGTTACCACAGTAAATGTTGAAATTATAAATAGTTTATTTGTATATATTAAAAGATAATGTTTAAGGACCCCCCCAGAAAAAAATCAAAAAACCGCCACTAAAAGAAATACTGACTGTTGTATTATGCTGTAAAGCAACTGGCTCAGAAAAAATTCAAGATTTGGATTATAGGTAAATATCAAAAACCTAGATGTTATAAAAACGTAAATAAACTTAGTCTTCCATTCGAATACATTCATCAAAAAAAAAAAAAAAAAATGCTTCAGTACATTCAACATCTTTTCGCCTATGGTTAGTTAAGTTTTAACGAAGAATGGCACTTCAGAATAGAAATGTACTTTTATATATATATATATACTTATACATATATTATATATTTTTGACTATGGACAATTTCAGTGCCAATAATAATATTAGCGACCGGGAACTGCCATACGTAAAAATAGTTTATTTTCCTCCGAATTGTACATCCCGGTTACAACCACTTGATCAAGGGATAATTTCTGTTTTTAAACGTTATTTCAAGTTTAGACTCGTAAACCATACACTTTTATGCCTTGATTCCGATCAACATCGTATAAAATTGAACATTTTACTAGCGTTGAGGGCGAAGTCTGTATCATGGTGTGATGTAACCACGACAACAATCAGTAATTGTTTTAAAAAATCGTAGAGGTTAAGCAACCTTAAGCACTGAAAAACCCATAAACAAGGATATACATGACGAAGATTGGAATAAATTATTAGCTTTTGTTCCAATTTTAATGAAAATACTATTCCTTTTTCAAGTTTTTTACTATTGAATAAGTGTTATACTATTGGATAATGATGTCGAGACTTGCGATGAAAATGCAGGAGAAGATAAAAACCCAGAAATCTCATCACAAGAACTTGAACCTACTGAACTTCCAGTGGATAAACCTTCTCGAGCTAATGTGTTGGTAGCCTTTACTACCTCGCCAAATTTTCCCAAACCAGAACAAATGTGGATTGCAAATTCGATGATCAGTTGAACAGCATCAGAAAATAGTGCTTGGAAAACTATCAAGTTCACAAACTATACGTTCACTTAAAAACTCATCGCCAATTTTTTTAAATCATCTACTACTCCATGACGTGAGTTTTAATTTAGTCAATTTAGTTTAAATATTTTAATTTGTAAAATACATTTTTTTTAAAAATAATTTCAATTTTTTTTATCATCCATGCAATGTAAAATAATCTTTTTTATATACTTCTTATATACATAATAAAATTTAGTATATATTTAATATTTGTGAGTAATTGATAGTGTGCTTTTAATAGGTGTAGCTATTTGATTTAATCATATTTTACATTTTACATTTTTATTTATATCTAATCGTCATCGATGCGCACCGGCTGACCGTCGCGACGAATTGTTATCGCATTATAGCAATGACAAAAATAGAAACTTCCGATAATCAAACTTTGATAAACATTATTAATTTTCCCGATTGCCGATTCGACCGTTTCGTCTTTCATGTTGCTTTGTTCACTGTTGTAAATCCTAAATCGTATATTTGGTCGAATATTAAAATGTAAATATTACCTACACGTGTCACGCTGTACTTTTCGTTGTTGTTGTAGCTGTATTTTGTAAAACTGTTTATAACTTTGTATAACTGTGTATAGCAGTGGCGTAAACTGGGTGGTGCAAATGTGGCACTTGTAACACCACATCTAAAATGTGGTGGTGCAAAGATATCTTTCTGCACCACCAGAAAATCATTGAAATTTGTATACTTATAATATTTTCAAGAGCCAAAGCATACTAAAAACAAAATTTGATTGTTTTTATTATTAATATTATAATAATAAAGGTTTTAATGCTAAAATAATTTAAAATTTATTTGTTATTTAAAGAAGTATATGGGAAAATATATAGTTTATTGGGAAGAATTTTACTTAGGAAATTGGAAAATTGGTGTGTTGGAAATTATAAGTTGAGAATATGCCTCTGCACCACCAGATATTGGATCCAATTTACGCCACTGGTTTATAGTGTATAACTGTAACCTGTAGTACTTCAGTAATTTCATTAGTGTTTAATTTATTTATTAAAATTTCGAATTTTTTTGAATTATTTAATATTAAAAAAAACCTTAAAGAAACTGTAAAATCTAAAAACGTTTTGCCGACAGAAATTCCTGAAAAAAACTACAGTACACTCCAACTCGTCATCAAATATTGATTTTGATTCTCGGCTTAAAATTAATGATATAAATGATTTGGGTAATATTAACTCTGGTCCATCACGTCCAATTATGAAGTTAGATATACCTATGTATTAGAGATAAATATTGGCAATATTACTTAGCTTATTTTTATTAAAGTTATTTGCATGCAAAAACTAAATACAAATTATAGCTAGATACTTAACACTCACAAATTAAAATTAAACTTTGGTCATAATTAATTAGAAACCTAATGAATAATTGTTATTAATATATAAATATCATTTTTACATTTTACTATCGCAATATTGCATATTTGCTATTGTTGGTACTATCATTGATTATAGAATTCTATAATCAATGGTACTATTAAGGTATATAGAGACATAGAGTGACTACTACTTTTAAATTATGTTCCAGTCTTATCCAATGATAAAATTTGGTCAACAAAACCGTAGTTTAAATGCATCATATTATTAAGAATATTATTAAGAAAAAGTAAAGAACCAAATGATCTTAAAAATATCATCGTCACTGCTAGTACTAATGCACAGTACACAGAACCTATACTAAGTAACCTACAGACAACTGAAGATTTCTACAGAATAAATGCGTACTTAGTTATTCTTGACACACTAGTTACAAAATTAAAAGAAAGTTTTTCGAATGATAGTTTAAAAATGGGTATATCTGTTGATAATTTTTTTCAACTAAAATTTGAAGAAAGTCAATGTTTTATTGATCATTATCAAGTAAATCTTCAGTTTTTAGTTTTATGATAAAAGTCATTAGTAAATTTTAACTGTTTTCAGGGATTATTGGATTTATCGAATGTCAATATTCAGTCAAAAATGACCGTAGCAAAAAACAGCATCTTGCAATCAGGAAATGAAATAAATTATGAAACAAAAAACAAAATATTTCTAAAAGTGTGTTTCCCTGTTTATGCAAACTACTACAGGTAGCCATAACAATACAAATCAGCTCGGCTACATGTAAACCAAGTTTTTCTGCAATGCGCCAAGTTAAGACATGGTACGTACGAGTGGGAGTTACCCGTTTCCGCCAAAATAATATTTACCGTTTCCGCCATAGCCCTTTTCCGACAAAAAAAGTTTGGAAACCATTGGTTTTAATTTTTAAGCAATATTGAATATATGTTAATAATATGTGTAAAAGATATTTGTAATGTTAATCTTCGATAATTGTTGATAATCGTTGATGATAACGGTACACTGTTCGATGCACTGTACTCGTATCATAGTTTATTTATAACTCGCACACAAGGCAGTGATTGTGGGGTACTAGTGGGGGCTTAGCCCCCCACAATTATCCACAACCCTCCCCCTAAAATGATTCCATACTTTCCAACGATCCATGCGATATTATATGTATGCTGTATTGCCGTATGGAAATAAGGAATATTTAACGTTTGTATTTGTAGTGACACTGATTTGAAAATTGAAATTGTATCGATAATTATCACGTTTTTACGATGTCGTTTTACGCTTACGTTAATTCGTTAATACCTACGACTTGACATTTGTTTTTTTTATAGTGCACTAATGGGAATACGAATATTATTACTTACCTAACTGTTATTCTATTTTAATTTTAAGTTTATACTTTTTCGACAACCTATGTTTAAGTGATATTACATATTATTGTATAAACTGATTTTAGGGTTTATTGAATTTATCAAAATTAATAAATTAATTCAATCAGAGATGATAGTGGCAAAGAACAGTTTATTACAATTAGGAATTAAGAAAAATGAAACCAGCTATGAATATGAAACCATGAAAAATGTATTAACGAAAAGCGTATTCCCTAGCCTATACAAACTTCTTCAAATAGCTATATCTTTACCTATTGCATCAGCTACATGTGAAAGAAGTTTTTCAGCGATGCGTAAGATAAAGACATGGCTACGCACTTGTATGTTGCAAGACCGTTTCAACAACTCAGCAATTTTGTGCATAGAAAAAGATATTAAGTTGATATTGAAAATGTTATTGATGCATTTGTATCTAAAAATAGATACATAGTTTTGAAATAAAATTCGGAGTTTATAATTATTATAATCGTAAAAATTGTTTTCATTTAATTTGAATTATTTTCCATATATTTATGAGGGAGGAGGTACAAAGGCATAACATATTAACAGTTTAAATACATCTTCCGGTCACTTTTGTAGAATTATTCTAACCCCCCCCCCAAGAAAAATATCAAATCTCTGCCTATACTCGCACAAAATAATTATCTGACAAATGTTAAATTCTTATATTTCCATCAGTATTGCCGATTATGTGGTAATCACCCTATATGGTGGTAATTTTTATAACTTGTAATCCACTATGTGGCATTGAAAAAAATGTGGTATTTTTTGGTCTAAACTTTAATATTTAATTTTTTAGATTTAGTAATTTTTATTTTAGTTTTTACTATTTTTTATATAATATTTGAATAGTTCCATTATGGATAAGTGGCTTAAAAGAAACGTAGTGAATCCCTAGTGTAACCGATGAAACAGACAATCCGGTACCAATTCCTACATGATACATTTATCATACTCAAAAGCATGTTTAAAGCTTCCTCGTTCTATTAAAGACCTATTACGCAACATAGAATCACACTTCAGTAGAAGCCATTCTTGTCAAGTCACGTATAAAGAATTACAAGTATTTTTTCATGTTGAAATTCATAAAATACTATCTCCAGCCATAACTCATTGGTTTTCACTGAAAGCCTGCGTAAAAGCGTCTTACAGCAATTCCCTACTCTAAAAGAATACTTTAGACTTGCAAGTTATGAGGACTCTTCTAAGACAATTGAACAAATACATGTAACTATGAAAAATTATTTTACTGTTATTTATTTTGAATTCATATCCTATACACTTGGTCTTTTGACCAATTTTAATACTTTATTTCAAAGTGAAGGCCCTCAACTACATCTGTTGAAACCGGAAATTGAAAAATTATTAAAAACTAGCTGAATTACCCGTCGTTGCCGGGTTTAAGTATATAAATGTATGTAACCTGCCAAGATTAAATTTTGTTAAATCTATTGAAATTTAAATTAATTAAGATTTTTTAAATAATATTTTATACATATTAATTTAGTTATTATCATAACCTATTCGATAAGTTATAGCTTACAACTACCTGAACCTCTCTACAGTTTGGTATTCTGTTGAATACATATAGCATCTCACTTCTCCGAATATTTTACCTTTTGTCAATAAGTTCATGGTCTTTTTGACTTTTAACCGAAACATTCTTGCAATTATATCATGTCGATCATATGATCTTTGACCGGGAAGTAAGAGCTCTTTTATCTCGTCCCATCGAGGATTACATGTAAAAGTAATAAAAAGGTCAGGACGACAGTAATGTCTAACGTAGGTCATATCATCTTGTGTTCTTTCGTGCATGTACCTTGGTCCACCAGTAAAAGTTGACGGGAGTATAACCATTTGGCCTAAAAGATTAGCTTCTATGTCTCGTCGTCCAATCGCATCTTTTAAATGAATATAACTATCTGCATGCAATTTGGCTTGGTTGTTTTTGATGTAATTTAGTCTTTCAGTTTCAATTTTGGCGTATTCATCAAATATTGACTGAAAAGAGAACGATAATTAACTAAATAGTTGACTTCCCTTTCCAGTGGCATAGTTACGGGGGGTATTGTTACGGGGGGGGTGTAAGGGGTTTCCACCCCCCTATCATCAAAACAAAATTATTATATTGGTTATAATTTTAAATAATAGTTATACTAAATAATACTAGTACAAATTAACATACGTATATTATTATTACTATTTATAATAATTATTAATAATATCCCTGGTTGTAGAAATTATCCGAGTGTTTACACTTCTATTTTAAGAAAACCAATTATAAAATTGACGAAAACAGCGATAACGGCCTCCGACGTTCAGCACGCCGACGCCGGTCGATAATATTACGATCTGTCGACCGACATAATATTTCATTTGATTGTTAGAGTTTGAAACATTAGTACGCGTATCAACTATGAATCAATTTGTTATTAAGGGGATTCCACACTATCGCTTATTAGAGTAAAATAGACCTATACGCGTTCCAACGTACCA